TGAATTTCGCAAATATTTTCCTAGTGCCAGTGTGTATATATATATATATATATCAATATATATATATAAGTATGTATTATTGTTGTTTGTGTTGTATAGCGCATTATGGTAATATTCTAAGAAATGCATAAATTCCATACTTTTATTGCATTTTTAGTACTCCGTCCGACTGCGCACTTCGTGTGCTCACTTCTTTCGTCGTTGTGAGAACGGAAACGTTACCAGACAAATGGTCGTTATCCGACCTACGATCGTTCGTTGTAAGCACCCGTTTCACCGACAGAACCACAATCATGCATACAAACTGGCAAATGTTAATAGGAATTTCGTAATAATTTCTTTCTTTCCTTGTTATCTTCTTAATGCTTGGAGAATTACGTTTTCTACTCGTTTACTTAAGTTGTTTACTTTTATTGTTATTTTTATATATATATATTTTTTTTTGTTTCTTAGTCTTTTGTGGTGTTTGCGAACCTATGTCAACCGGTTGGTGGGTACTCATTCTATTTCAAGGCAAACTGGCACTTTCTAGTAGGTACATATAAGTTTTTTTTCCAAACCTTTGCAAATTCGTGCAGTGGGTTTTCAGAATAGATGTTTATGAGTTCACCAGGGTTCCCTGCGATGCCAATAATACAAAAAAAAAACAGATTTTTTGTTCCCACTGGTTTGATATCGTCAAAGCCATGAAAATCTGCCGCGCCCTACCTCGGTTTTGGCTTATGATATTTGACCAAATTCGTACATAACTAAGTCTAGGACCACGCTTGAAAAAGTCGCTAAATGTATTGTAAGTATATAATTGGCGCTTTGTAACCGCTGAAGTGATTTTCGGCCGAGCTCCTCCTCCAATTTATGGTTTTGCATTTTGATATTTTCCCAACAGGAAAACAGGAGGGACCCACAGATTATTATGAGCCACCCTCGCACGGCCGATGAATTATTATGAGGAATATTTTTAGTTCATGTTAGAAATACACTCGGAGGGGTTGACATTCCATGCCGAAGGGTGACAGCAATTGGAAGTTTGAACTTTTTGTAGTTTTTTATTTAAATTATTTTTCCATAACTTTTGGATGTTGGTGGTGCCAGGATTTGAACCCGAGTCTACCGAATGTCAGTACAAAATACTTACCACTCGGCTGCCGCGGTTCTGTTAATACACATATAATTCACAAGGAAATACAATATTTATGTTTGAATTAAGCCAAAGCTGAAGAGGACGTTTTACAACTGAAATTCAGCACTAAGTACGGATAGCAAGTTATCGTGGAGACCCAATGCAGAGGAGGGAGTGAAGAAGGCATCAGCTGAAATATTTGTTAAAAAAATACGGGAGAGCTACTGCAGAATACGCATCTAGGTTGGTAGCTAAGCGACCAAAAACACCTTACTTCCAAACAACACGAAGTCAGCTGCGGTCGCACTGTGAGAAAAGGCGAATCAGTACTGCCTACAAAAAAAAAGAGTTTACACTTACTGAGTATCAAGTAACACGGCATTTGAAAGCAACGAGATAGCTGATGAACTGTCTAGGGATGTAGTAAGGAACCTTCCAGTTCCATTAAGGGAAGTCAAGCAAAAGCGAATAAATTTTTGGATCGACCTAAGCGCTGCAGAAGCGCGAAAACTATATGCAAGACGTATAATGCTAAGCTTATAAAGTTTGTACTATCTGTAAGGAGGCCAGATTCCAGGCTGCTGATAGGACCATTACCGTGTCTTTTGAGGCAACTTCAGGTAATGTAAGGAACATAAGGACGAGTGGTGCACTTAATCTGTGAGGGCCCAATATTCAGCTCTTATAGTTTACGCTTACTTTACGCCGCAAGTCTTCACTTTTAGACCCATCAATAAGGGTATGAATATCTTCACTTGCGGACAAAGAACTCCGCGACTGCGACTGCGACCGACAAACCTAACATAGTCTGTGAAAAAAGGTCAGCCTAGTAAAAAATTTGTTTCTTTGAAAAAATCTAAAAAAAAAGTTTTTCAGTGTTGCAGCTGCGTTAAGCCCTCATATTCTTAAATATGTATGCTACTTAGTTAAGGATAACATAAAATCATAGCTACGGATGTGAGTATTAACCACATTAAAAATAATTTACGGTCTAAAGTCTCGATAAACAATGTCATACAAGTACAGATGCTTGGACATATTAGGGTCAAGATAAAATCAAGTCCCATTCTCATCAAATAGTGATTTTAAAATGTACATACATAAATTCGAAGAAGCCGCAAAAGACTAAGTCCAAATGACATAAAAGGTTCGTTCGGGTTCTTATTGATTCTTCAAAATATGATAACTTTGTGTACAATTGTCCGATTTAAGTCAAATATGCGTCGTTTTGTTGGTAAACTAGATTCCAACTTCATTATACCCCCAACTTCTTCGTACAAGGCTGCGTCCCTATTCGCAAAAAACTCGAAAAGCCAATTTTCACAGGCCTATCTTGAGGCCAACTTCTCACCATTAAATGCGTTCGCCATGGTGCCAGGTCCGGACTATAAGGGGAGTGCATTAGAACCTCCCATACGAGCTCCTGGTGCTTCTAGCGCGTCACCAAAGACGTGTGTGGCCTGGGGTTGTCCTGATGGAACACAATTCGGCCTCTGTTCATCAAAAAAGGCCTCTTCTGGATGAGTGCTGCGTTCAAGCGGACCATTTGCTGGAAGTAGAGGGCCGAATTGAGCGTTTGGCCTTAGGGGAGCAGCTCGTAGTAGTTGGTTCATTGCCAAACCCACAAAACACACAGCAAAACCTGGTGCATCTTTGACATCGAAATTACCGGAACGAAACCTACCAAACCACTTTTGTACTGCACGTTCGTTTACAATATCGGGCCCATAAATTAAATTAATTTTTTCAGCCGCTTTGGCTGCTTTTTCGCTTTGATCGCAGACAAATTGTAAAATTTGCTGGTGTCCACCTTTGACGAGCGCTCACAACGTACTGAGTCAATGAATCGAAAAACTGTCAAAGACAAACTTTTAGCGCGAGTCAACAGGTTTTAAGCGCTGTATAGTATGACATTCTGCGACACGTAACACTAGTGCTATGGACAATAACGCCATCTCTAAGATAAAAACCCAACGAACTTTTTACTAAACCTATTATGTTGCCAATATTAGCCATTTTGGATTGTCAGTTAATTTTTGATAGATAAAAAGGTTAGTCGGGGATCAAAGAAAAAAAACCCCTTAAAACAATTCAATTCAACAGAAAAATGACTGGAAAAATCATCTAGAAATTACGGAAGAGCCTTGCCGTGCGAATGAAAATTTCCAGTAATAAAAAAAACGTTGCATTAAAATATTTGTTGGTAAATTCTTCACACTAATAACTACTTCGCGCCAAGTTTTACAGCTACAGAACATCAGATCACTTGATCGTTTATATGTAGGTAAAGGAAAAGTGAAAAACAACAACAAGTAAAAGCGGCACAAATGTAGCTTAATGGGATAACCATTGGCTCGTGCTGTGGCCATTCCAAGTTTAAATGCAATTTAAACAAAGGTTTCTGGAAAAAGAAGTCAGATGAGGAAACGTGGTGGTTTCTGAAATAGCAGCTATAACTTCTACCGTCCAAAATTTTTGTTGTAATTTTTTCACAATTTCCCAAAAACACATGGTTTGAAATAGTTCCATAAAAAACCCCAAAAACAATTGAACAGAACAATGACCTGAAAAAGCATCTAGAAACTGCATTAAGTTTTGTGTAAAAAATTAAATTAAATGCGAAAGTACATTTTAAATGTTGACTGTGGCCTTTGGCGTGTCTACTCTGAGCAGAACACAAGTTCAATTGTGGTATAACCGGTTTAAGGAAGTCCGAGAATATACGAATGAGAATGCCCATCTTGGTCGCACGTGCACGTCAACAACCGATGAAAACACAGGGAAGAAAATGATTTCTGATAACCGTCGAATCACTATCAGAAAGGTTTCTAATGCTGTTAGCATATCGTTCGGCTCATTCCCAGTCGTTTGTGTGATGCAATTCGTTAGAAACGCACAGAATTGTGGTAAAAACAATCATGGATTTTGCACCATGATAACGCACCAGCCCACACATCGGTGCTAGTGCGTATTCACCGGACTTGGCCCCCGCTGACTTTTTCCTCTTCCCAAAACTGAAGGCGCAGATGAAAGGAAAGCGCTTTTGCTACCCTTGGCGATGCCAAGAAATGTGTTTGAGAAGTGTTTCGGGGATTGGAAAAAACGCTGGCATTAGTGTAGTATATCTGAGGGGGATTACTTTGAAGGAGACAAGCTAGTTATTTATGAATGAATAAATACTTTTTCAAAAACTTAAAATAACTGTTATTTTCTGATCCCTCCTCGTATGTATGTATATAAGCAAATCAGCAGCAATCGCAGATATTCTTTCCGACCGGTGTACGGCATTTTGTATTAAAATTAATTGCAATAATTTAATATCAGATTTAAATTAATTTTTTTTATTTCTTATTATTTATAGCTTTCGAATCAGATTGCATAAAAACATCAGTAATTATTCTAAAAAGTATTTTTTTCCCCATCTCTGTTATCACATTCTTGTTACGTTTCGAAATGCGTTGAAATCCAGTTTCCCACTACCTCAATTGGTTTTGTATTTGGGCCGCATTCGACTAAATGTTTTTGATTTAGAAAAATAGCAAAAAAAAATTCCATCAATGTTTAAGCTTAAACCGAGCAGCTAAGGCAAGCAATACTAGTTTCACCAAAAAAAAAAAAAAATAGCCTACAAAGGTATAGACGGACAAGTAACTGACTTCAAACTGAAACTGGTTTTTTTTTTCATTTTTATGGATGCAACGTTAAATTGAAAACAATCATTCGGACTTTCGGTAATTATTTCAACTCAAACACTTACCGACGCTATTTACCACCATTACTAATTTGAGTCATAAACAATAAGCGGCAAAATAGCGATCAGACAGCGGCTAACAACGGTTTCACGCCCAGCATCGCTAGATAGTCGCTCAGGCAACGTCAAGTCGTGCGGTCGGTCTAATTACTTGTAGCGCAACTTGAAATACCGAAGTAAACAAAAGCAGTAGATGCTTGAGCTGTTCAGAGCTGTTGACACGAACATTCACTTTATTGAATCGACTCTTACGACGCAGCGCTTTGTATTTGTTTTGAAGACACGCTAATTTGAAATCGAATCACCCACAAACACACACACAAATGACTGCCTGTTTTGTCATCAATGGTACGCCCTATAACGGTAAGTTGACAGAAGTGAACAGCACTTCATGGTTGCTTCTCATTAGCTTATTGTCTAAATTTGTCTGTGATTCTATTTACACGATTGCAGTTGACTTGACCGCCTTTCCGGCTGATATAACGCTGAATACCTTCATCCGCGAACATGCTCAGCTGACTGCGACGAAATTCATGTGTCTGGAGGGCGGTTGTGGGGTGTGCATTTGCGTTGTCAGGGGCAAGCATCCAGCCACAGGCGAGACACGCACTTGGGCCGTGAATTCGGTAAGTTGATTTATACAGTACATACATAAAGACTTATCTACGTATGTACCAGTTGGAGATGTGACGAAGGTGAATCTGCTGAAACGAGTGCCGAAGTCGAAGATTTAAGTATAAATTGTTCGAACAGGCAGTGTTGATTAGAGTGTATAACCTAGAAAGAAGGCAAAAGAAAGAAGATGACATACGTTCTTTTCGGGTCTGGAGCATTAAATTATTTTTCGCACAAGATGAGCGAAAGAGAGATGGTCAGGTTTTTGCCAAATCTAAGCCGTTGCCGAATTCCGCTTTGAAAAGTAATAAATTTTGCCCTTAAGACTCCAAAGTACTGCGAACCAACGGTTACAAAGAACTTCATTACTTCACTTGTTCAAATCAGTTCGTGAGGAGATAAAAATTATTTATTTTTCCTTAGAATTTAGGAGAAAATCATTTATGAAAGAGTGTTGTTGTTGTTGTTGAGTTGAGTTGAATTGAGTTGAGTTGAGTTGAGTTGAGTTGAGTTGAGTTGAGTTGAGTTGAGTTGAGTTGAGTTGAGTTGAGTAGAGTTGGTGCGGTTGCTGATTACAGCGACCAGCTCACTTAGGCCTGGCGGCCCGTTGTGGTACCGCTGCGGAGTACATCGTCAGCTACGCTATTAAAGAAGTGATATCCAAAATATTTATGTCGTGTGATTCTTAGGGCTGGGAAGTGACAGTGGTAGTGCTCGACAGATGCTTCCTCTAACCATGAAGCCCCATTAAAGTCTAGTTTGTATGCCCGTTGTTGAATTAATGGTGAACCGAACCAGGCGGTTGATCTATTGACGTCCAGCGCAAGCCAAACCTATCTAGTCACGTTGCAGGTTTCCACGCTAAGCTATCTAATGTTGGCTGTTTTGGTGAAAGCCAGCTTTGGTATGTGTGTTTTCCGTAGACAAAGGCACGTCCACGACGTGCGTAGTATCTCACGATAGCTCATCTAGCCATACAGTTGCTCGAGATTTTCGTATGTCCGGGTACCCAGACTGCGAAAGTATTTCATTTAGCTGAGAGATTCTGTCCCACTTTGGAGGTGGTGTAATTATTGTACATTGAAGAGATCTGTCGGCAGCTTGGCTATCCGAGTATATACCGATCGTAGCAATTATTTTGCGGCTTTCGAGATTGCAATTAGTTCTGCTAGGTAGCCTCAAATTAATTTCCATTCATCGAGCTTAGAGCTTTCTCTGAAGAGGGCTATGTCACTCTGATCCAAGGCATATGCATTTTCAAACTCATTCCTGTATAGATTCTTGTAAAATGTAGTATAACTTCGTTCCAAGCTGCGTGCCCTTTAGCGCGATACCTCCAAGGCTGAGCAGCGTCTAATGTAATTGTATTGTAGCTCGATTAAACTTTTTCGTAAAAATCCAGGGGAAGAAAAGTTAGAAGAATTTCCAGGCCTTTTCATGGAGTCGACAATAGAGCTTCGGTAATTATAACAGCAGCCGACTACTGAGCTCTATCCAGTCTGCTCCTGAAAGTGATTATTTCGAATGCTGGCCACTAGACACTGACCGCGTAGAAGAGAATGGGTCTAACTACTGCTGCGTAAGTCCAGTGGACATTGAATGCTTTTCCAATCTTTGGCAATGGACGCCGTGCATTCGTACAGTACTGTGAAAACTTCCCTCGACCGTTTCGCCGTATTTAGCTCGAGATATTTGACTTCTGTATAAGGTGTGATTTAGATGCCTTTTAGCTTGAGTGTTTTAAACAGAAGTGATTTCTATCTCCTTGTGAAAAGAAATATTTTGGTTTTCGCTAGATTGACACAAGCCCAGCACCAACTTCTTACTCTATTAAGGGCATTTTAGAGTAAATCCCTTCAATTGTTAAGGCTCTAGCATCGGCGGATGGTACCACGTCACAACCTTTGCTATCTAGCTGCCAAAGCATTCCCCATCTCAACGAAGATGATATAGTTCCCCTGCAGCATTACAACCGGCTGTGCAAGATCCATTTCTTGCTGTTATTAGAGTGTTGTGTTATTAGAAATATTATAGATTAATATGAGACGAGTTTTCCCCAACCGACCTGAAACGAGACTAGATTAAAAGGTTTTAATACAAAGAACTTTCTTTCGGTTCGGACCTAAACTTTTGAAACCGAAATCGAATCACCAATATGACAATTATCTGCACAATAAGATGCCGTTTTAAACACAACCGTAATCTGCTCTGTCTACTTTCAGTGCTTGACGTTGCTGAATACCTGTGCGGATTGGCAAATCACCACCGCCGAAGGCATTGGCAACAAACGCCACGGTTATCATCCCATTCAAAAACGTTTGGCTAAACTAAATGGCACTCAATGCGGCTTTTGCTCACCAGCCATGGTAATGAATATGTACGGACTGCTCGAATCCAAGGGTGGCAGAGTAACCATGGAGGAGGTGGAAAGCTCGTTTGACGGCAACATTTGCCGTTGCACCGGTTATCGTCCTATTTTGGATACCATGAAATCCTTCGCCGTCGATAGCAATATTAAGCTGCCAGAAGATTGTGATGACATTGAGGATTTCGAATTTGTCGCTTGTCCAAGGAGCGGTAGACAATGCTCGGGTGGTTGTCATAAAAAGCCATTGACAGCACTAACCTACGCTGATGGCGCACAATGGTATTGGCCACATTCGCTGACTGAGGTTTTCAACGCGCTGGCGAAAGTGGGCAACGAACAGTATATTTTGGTGGCGGGTAATACAGCACATGGCGTTTATAGGCGCTCACCGGACATTAAGCATTTTATCGACTTGCATGGCGTACCCGAGCTGAAGCAGCATACAATTGTTGGCGAAAAGCTAACTTTGGGCGCCAATCTGAGTTTAACTGAAGCTATAGATATTTTTCAGAAAGTTGCACAGCGCCCCGGTTTCGAGTATTGCGAACAGTTGTGGCGGCACTTCGATTTGATAGCGAATGTCCCCGTGCGAAATGTAAGTCTGGTGTGCAATCTCACAGGGGTGATTTTATATTCAATGTATGTTACAGGCAGGTACACTGGCGGGCAATATCAGCATCAAGAAGGCTCATCCCGAGTTTCCCTCTGACGTTTTTCTATCATTTGAGGCACTCAATGTGCAAATTATAATTCAGGAGCTCTCAGCGCCAGCCAGGAGCATGCCAATACTGGAATATCTTAGGCAGCCATTCAACAAGGCGGTCATCACAGCCTTTGAGCTGAAAGCGTACCTAAAAGGCAGATTTGTGTATCACTCATACAAAGTAATTCGAATTCTCCATGCTGATTGTGCCTGTCTTTAAATTTACCTCAATTACAGATCACACCTCGCGCTCAAAATGCTCATGCCTACGTAAACGCAGCCTTTCTACTTGACATGGACGTAACGGCATGGGGTATAGTTAATTCTGCTCGCTTATGTTTCGGCGGTATCAACCCGGACTTCGTGCATGCGACAGCGACGGAATCTTTTGTAATCCGGCAAAATATATTCGATAAAGAAGTGAGTGCTCAGTTATTCTCTTTATTGAGTGAAGAAGTTGTGCCAAACGAGGTACTGCCAGATCCGTCACCCGCTTACCGCCGGTCACTGGCGTGTGCGCTCTTCTACAAAACTCTTCTGAAGCTTGCGCCAGTGGAAAAGGTTAGAGCCGAGTACAAAAGTGGCGCGAACATACTGAAGCGACCATTGTCTTCCGGCATACAGACCTTCGAAACAATAGAAAAGAATTATCCGATTACACAACCCGTGCAGAAGCTCGATGGTAAGCTAAGTTGTTTCAATGCAGGTTTCTGGAAAGACAAATAATTCCTTTTTTCGCGCAGGTTTGCTTCAGTGCTCCGGAGAGGCTACATACATGGACGACACACTAACCACATCGGACACCGTTCACTGTGCCTTCGCCAACGCCACAAGGGTGGGCGCTAATATCGAACAAATCGACGCGTCCGAGGTGCTGGCCATATCGGGCGTAATAGCATTCTACACAGCCAAAGACATACCCGGCACTAATAACTTTTGTGACCAGGCTTTTGAATATGAACCAGAGGAAATATTTTGCAGCGGAGTGGTGAGATACTATGACCAACCTTTGGGCGTAGTCGTCGCACTTACCAGCGATATTGCCAAACGCGCTGCCAGCAAAGTGAAAGTAATCTACAGCAATTTACCTACCGACACAAAGATTTATCCAACCATGGCAGATGTGTTCAAGGAACAAGCAATGGACCGAATCAAATGGAGCACGGCAGCTCAATCGAATAGCTTACAACTCTCAGATCAGCCTGATATCTCGGCGAGAGGTGTATTTGAAATGGGCGGTCAGTACCATTTTACTATGGAACCTCAAACCACAGTGGCCGTACCCTTTGAGGATGGTCTACAAGTGTGGACCGCCACACAATGGATGGATCAAACACAATGTGTCATCGCCAAGATGTTGGGGATCAGGGTTAATGATGTGCAATTGAAGGTGCGTCGTTTAGGCGGTGCGTATGGAGCCAAGATCTCACGTGGTAATCAGGTCGCTTGTGCAGCGTCTTTAGCTGCTTATAAACTCAATCAACCCGTCCGTTTCGTGCAGTCCATTGAGTCGATGATGAACTCGAATGGCAAACGGTGGGGCTGCCGCTCGGATTATGAGTTTCACATTAAAAATAACGGAAAAATCGTTGGTTTAACAAACACTTATTACGAGGACGCAGGTTGCACTCTCAATGAGAATCCCATAGAGGATCTAACACCTGTGACAGCAAAAAATTGCTATGAGCTTAATGACTCGAACTCAAAAATATTCGGGCAACCAGTCATCACAGATGCGCCGAGCTCAGCGTGGTGTCGCGCACCGGGGTCAACCGAAGGAATTGCAATGATTGAGAACATGTTAGAGCATATGGCATTCGAAGCGAATATAGATCCAGCTGATGCGCGTCTTGTAAACTTGAGGTCAGGTAATAAAATGGGTGAGCTCTTACCGGGTTTTCTGCAATCGACTGAGTACAGACAGCGGCGCAAGGATATTGCAGCATTCAACGCGCGAAATCGTTGGATCAAACGTGGCCTTGGTTTGGCAATAATGGAATACCCTGTAAACTTGGTGGGACAGTACGCTGCCACTGTCGCTATATACCATGTGGATGGTACAGTGGTCATTGCCCATGGTGGCATCGAGATGGGTCAAGGTAAGTTTCGCGCTAAAATTTTATATCACTTAACTTCAGTAAGAATTTTGGTCCACACTACAGGTATGAACACGAAAATTGCACAAGTTGCCGCACACACACTGGGCATACCGTTATCTTTTGTGAAGCTCGAATACAGCGATACAATCAATGGCGCAAATTCAGAGGTTACCGGCGGCTCACTTGGCAGCGAAAGCCTCTGTTTCGCTGTACGAAAGGCATGCGAGGTGCTCAACACACGTCTACAGCCAGTCAAAGAGGCACTCGGCAAAAACGTAACTTGGCAAAGAATTGTAGCTGAAGCGTGGACTCGGCTAATAAATTTAATTGCCAGCGAATATTATAAGCAAGGAGATATGCGAAATTATCTCGTTTACGGTCTGGGTTTGACAGAAATCGAATTGGACATTTTAACCGGCAACCATTTAATCAAACGTGTGGACCTCTTGGAAGATGCGGGCGAAAGTCTAAGTCCCTACATAGATATTGGACAAGTTGAGGGTGCATTTGTGATGCTCTTGGGTTACTGGCTAACGGAGCACTTGATTTACGATCGTCAAACTGGTCGTTTGGTGACTAACCGCACTTGGACTTACAAACCGCCAGGTGCCAAGGATATACCGATCGATTTTCGCATAGAATTGTTGCAGAAGAATCCCAACCCTGCCGGTTTTATGCGTTCAAAGACTACAGGTGAACCGCCTGCATGTCTGGCAGTCAGTTCCATTTTTGCCGTGCAGCATGCTCTACAGTCGGCGCGCCAAGACGCGGGTATTGCACATGAATGGGTACGTTTGGGTGCGCCAACAACACCAGAGACCATCGTTTTGAATTCAGGAACTCAGCTCTCGATGCTTTCATTAGAGTAAACTGTATCATAAATGTATTTATGGTGCTAATTCTGGGTGCATAACGGTGCATTGATCTTATTTACAGTATTTTCTATGGTTTGGTTATTTCAAAAGACTTTTATGCTAAACTTTTGAACTGATAAACTGAAAGCTCTTGCCATAGGTGGCGCTATGAAAAAAGCTGCGGAAGGATGGATGAAATGGCAAAGAGTCGGATGTAAATCAATCTATAACAAATAAAAGTTTGATAATTAAAATACTATACCGTATGAAGGGTTAAGAAATAATTAGACGTAGAGGGAAAGTTTTTTAAAAAATAATAATTTTATTGTAATTGGCGCTTTGTAACCGCTGAAGCGATGTTTCGCTGAGCTCTTCCTCCAATTTGTGGTTTTGTGTCTTGATGTTTTTCAAACAAATGGAGGGATCTACAGTTTATACTAAGCCGCCTCCGAATGGTTGAAAGTTTTATTATTAAGAGCTTTATTTCATGTCAGAAATATTCTCGGTAGGGTTGACATTCCATGCCGAGGGGTGACCACAATTAGAAAAATTTAACTTAATTTTTTATTTAAATTAATTTTCCATAACTTTTTGGATGCAGTGTCTAACCACTCGGCTACCTTACTAATTTCGGTACCAGGCTATCTAGAGTATGTACATGAGATGTGTGTAGCGAATTCGTCCGTCAAAAAGATTTCATATCTGTCACTAACATGATATGGATTATTAACTCTGGCCCGAGGTATGTAAGTACCTAAGTACCAGAAAGTGAAGAGAGCGACCCACAAAACATATACCAATTGAATAAGAACGGGTTAGTTGATGCAGCTGTACCCGTCTGACTGTCTCTCGATACGTATGTTTGAACGCAAAACTAGTACTTCAAACTCATAGTTCACCATAAAAATTCATCAGCCATTCGGAGGTAGCTTAGAAAAAATTGTAAATTCCTCGAATTGGAAGGCACATCGAACCACTGGAACATTTGTTCAAATTAAGGGTTTGGAATGATCCTTAAAAAAAATATTGACACTAAAAATCATCGAAAACGGAAGACTTATCAGATAACCCCTACTCACCTATGTGGAGCTTGCGACGAATAAAGGTTGAGCTTACGTTCCCAAGAAGGCCGTTAAGACGTTGAAGATGACGAGCGCACTAGACGCCACAACGTGGAAAAAGAGAAAGCTAACGCCGAATAACCAGCTCCAGCCTCCATATTCGTCAGACATGGCCCCGTGCGTCTGTTCCTTGCTGCTGAAAATTAAGAGAGCCTTAAAGGTCTGTAGATTTACAGCGATAGATGACACCGCTGAACTGCCTATAGGCTTTCTGATAGATCGAGCTTCAAAAGTGGTTGGGTACTGGTGGTATGAAACTGTTTTGAAGGCAACAACATCAAAAACATGTAAAAAAAATTAAATTCTCTTTTATTTTATGAGAACACCTCCCACATTTTATAGTTAGGTGAACAAAGTTGAGAACCAGCCCTTAACATTGTATTCGAAAGGCTTTAGGTGGAACAGCTGCTTCAAATGCTTACTGGCGTACGCTTTTCAACGTGTGGCACGCAACGCCAAATAATGTCGCGGCTATGAAAATTTACGAAATGCAAGCACCTTCGTAAGGGGAGCTGTAAGGGTGCACTTCGGCAGCGGTAAATGCATTAAAGTTTTCCCATTATTATGTACCGCAAACTTTGGTGTTGCACAACAACGACGCGACAACAACCAACTTACACAACACACCAACTCAAGAGTGGAGCAACATTAGCGTTGGAGTGTGCGGACTGCCTGCCGCATAGGGTTACTTAAACGACAAGTTTAATGCGGCCCTTTTTAGTGGTTTTGTAAACTTTTCTTACTCCCCCCTCTACTCCTTTCGCAATATTATTGCTACTTTTTATTTGCTCTTTACATAATTTTTCCGCTCCCTCCATTCGCTTCGACACTTCATCCGAGTGGGAAAAAACTTACGAATCTGCAGCAATGCAGCGATACGATTGCGTTGCAATGGAAATACTTTTTGAAAGAAGTAAAAATAACAATAATAATAACAACATGAAAATATAATATGTTTACATTTGTGCGCAACAGCTGACTTATTGCAAAAGTACATAAGCATACATACAAACATATACGTGTATGTTATAGCATTTCGGGCGAGTGGTTCAATTTAACTCGGTTGGAACTTCAGCCAGCGATAAAAGCGACGACATCCTTACATTTCAACGCGCACCTCAACGCCAGCAATAGCGGGCGAAAAAGCCAGCGGCTATCATCTGTCAGTAATGCATTTTTCCCGCGAACTAAGTTTACCCCTGGAACTGCACGTGTTGGCAGATGCTGAACGATTCGTGAAGTTTTCTTAATGGAAATTTAAGTTTTTGTTAAATTTTTTTTCAAAAAAAAATTGCAATTTTCTCGAATATGCGGTAAAAAGTTTCATCGCTGTTTTTATTAGCTTTTCTATTTTTTCAACTTTTATAGATTTCTTTGACAAATTTTATAATGATAAAAAATAATCGTCTACTTCTATATTGCCGTAGGCACCGCTTAAGCGATTACAGCGGAATGACGTACCCTTTTTTGCGCTGTTTGACGCCACCTGAACCTTCCAAGCGTGTGAAGGTCCTTCTCTGCCTTTGCTTCAACCGGCGAGCTATACATCGAATACTTCCAAAGTTGGAGTGCTTTCATCCATTCGGACGGCTTGACCTAACCAGCGAAATCCCCCGCTGAGCCCCAAATGCGTAGACTTTTTGTTTGTTGACAGAAGATATATCATCTTGTCCTCGTTCACTACCAGAAAGAAGAACTCACAGCGCAAGACAGCATCTTCGGGGCTGCACTTGAAAAATTCAGCCTAAGCAACGAAGCCTCCGCAAATAGATTGAAGCAACTCAGGAAAATTTATCAAGCTTTTTGGCTGTTTCCATGTCCCCAGTGTACTTGATGTGCGCATATTCCGGAGACCCACCAGCTAGTGGCAGCGTAGAACACCCGTTAACAAACACAAAGACTGTTTGACGTCGAAAAGATGCAATTACAGCAAGCAACCGGACAGTTTTCTACTCGGTTTGCACTCTTCCACTTTGAGCGTACTCATCGCCTACTCGGTATAACGGAAGGGAGAGTATTTCAAGCTCCTTACGCAATAGCTGAGTGGTTAGCATTCCGTACTGACATTCGGTAGGCTCGGGCTCAAATCTCCATGTGAGCAACATCCTAAAGTTATGGAAAACTAATTTAAATAAAAATTAAGCAATATTTTCTAATTGCGGTCGCCACTCGGCAGGGAATGTCAACCCTTTCGAGAGTATTTCGGACATGAAACAAAGCTCATCATAAAAAAAACCATCAGCTCTTCGGAGGCGGCTTAGTATACACTGTAGGTCCCTCCATTCGTTGGAGAAATATCAAGACGCAAAACCAAAAATTAGAGGACTAGCTCGGCACCTGGAGACAAATTTTGGAAAAGACCCGTGAAGAGAGAATCGACATTACAAGGGTGTTGACCGGAACAGCTTTATATAAATTTTTTACCAAATTCTCAATTTTAAAGTCACTCTGTATGTACAATACCTGCATGTCTGGGGAGTTCAAAATTTAAGAGCTAGACTTTCACGCCACAATTAAGCAGTTTTTAGCTCAGTTTCAGTTAGGGCATACTTGTGGTGAGCTGCGGCCTCAATTCGTTGCAATTCGCTAGCATCATCATGCCGTTATGAGCACGTCTAGCGTCTTGCTTTCAATCACTTACGGAAATTCATCAGTAATGCCTTACTCAACTGCACACCTCCATCTCTGCTGCTTCACTGTCAGACGCATACCTTTACTGGGCTCTACCTTCGATCGCTAAAAGCAACGATTCTATAAATTATTAAGGCAATACGGGAAATAAAAAATGAAAGTAAAAAAGAATAAAGGCACGGGTGCGTGTGCGTTTACCACTTGGCGTGAAGTGAAAATGGTCGGATGCGCAAAGAAAATCAGGAAGGTGGAAGTTGGCAGCCAGAAAGTGGCATTAATGTGTTTAAAGCCAAGTAAATTGCATTAGCCAACCGTACGTTGCCAACGAGGCTGCCTTCAATCATAACCAACGCCAACGCCAACGCCAGTGCACCCTATCTACCATGAGTCTGCTCTCTGCAAATGGATTTTTCCTTTTTAGTGCTTTACAACTATTTTTGTAATTCCACGCAGATGTCAGTATGCAGTTGTGTCGTGGGGGGGTGACGTTGACGTATTTTCAATTTTTCCTGTATGCGCCTCCTCTTCCTTTTATGCTTCCGTTTCGTTTAGAGTTTTAACCATTTGCCTTTTATCTATGTGCACCCCTTTGATGTCGGCTGTATCGAAAGTAGTGGTGTTGGAAATTTCTTTTCCAACCCTGTGATTTCGTTTTATTTAATTTCGTTGTATAAAACTTAATAGCGATACTAAAAGTGTAGCAAAAGTGACGGCACATCGCACATCGCACACGTGTTTATGTAACGGTGTTTTTTTATCGTTCGAACCTGCCAAGCATTTGACACACTTTTTCTTTTGCGCCTTTTCACATATCGCTTATTTAAAACAACAACTAGATGTACGACACATTGCATCCGCCATATCCTTTTTGCAGCTCTTAACTGGGGTTGGAAAATAACTGCGTAAGTAGGCATATTGCAAAGGTGAAGAAGGAAGCAAACTTAAAATACCGGCACCTCAGCTCAAGCTAGCTCATTTATGACAATTTCAAAAGATATTTTGAAGGTCCTAGAATCATTAGCAAGAAGTGTTGTTTTAGCTGATTCTTAGATCTTTTCAGACCCAACAGAATACTCAGTTGATAAATCTGAGGACCGCTGTGCAATCTTCATTTTAAAGGCCTTATATGTATGTAGTCCCCTCGACGGATTGAGGGAACGAATGCTACATCTTTAATGGGAGCGATGGCAGCAGATCTTAAGACTGCCCAAGAAGGTTCATCTGTAGACTTAAACGAGTTTAGTTCGCCGAAAGTGAAAACAAATCTAACCGGTTAGACGAAGTGCAGGGTACTCCATCTCTTATGTAGGTATGTAAAATCAGGTGCCTTTTTGCCGCGTTATTTTTTCCAATATGCACGTTGAGTTAATACAATGGAACGACGGGTTTCGATGTATAGTGTCATCACTTCAGCGCCTTGTTTCGGTGTGAAGCGATCCATGGCAATAGTTTTAC